AGATAAAAATACAAGTAGAATTCGAATTAGATTTAATGTTATAAGATCAGTGTTTATGTTTTATATTTATATTTAAACTCTGTACTAATATGAGAGTTAAATCCAAAAATGAATTTGAAAGACAGTTCTGTAACCTATTAGTGTTTTTGGAAAATGTATGGAAAATATTAGGAAACAAATGTGGATTAAATTAGTTAGTAGTGATGAGAAAGCACATAAATTAATGAAGAAACCATTTTTTAAAGACATATATATATGATATATTCGTAAAATGTAATGGCAGTTCACATGCATAAAGAAACAATTAAATTCGATAAACCGATTTATGTAGGGTTTGCTATATGAGATATTTCTAAAAAAATTATAACAAAAAAAAAAAAAAAAATATGAAAATAAATTAAGTATTATTTATACCAGTGTTTCTTAACCTTTTTCAAACTGTCGCCTCCCTAAGAAGCAAAACTTTTCAACGCCCCCCACCCTTCACTTTATTAAATTTAAAATAGTATACATGAAATTTCTATAATTGAATAATAAATAATATATATATAAATGTAAAATTTATGTTTTAATATAATTTAAGTGTTTGAAATGTATTGATCAGTAAGTTTATATATAGATAGTAAGATAAGTATTATTGTTGTTGTTGTTGTTGATTAAATAAATTAAATAAATATGATGGTTGTGCTTGGTGATTCAAAACCAATTTTTTTACGTTTGGTTCTAAGTTTGTGTGATGAAGGCGTAAGTCTCCTCTTTTGATGATGTCCAGTCGATTAAATTTTTTCGTTATTAGATTATAACGCACTGCCTCTGGTATATGTAGTTTATATTTCATAATTACGAATTTATTTTAGAAATCGATTAACGGGAAACAATTACAGATAAATCTTGGTGCGTTGTTTTGAACAGAAAAAAAGTTCAGGGCCCTTATCGTCCAAAATGAGCTCACCGCCCCCGTTGAGAAGCACTGATTTATACTGATACAGATTCTCTTGTTTATGAAATAAAAAACGGAAAATTTTTTTAACGATATAAAAAACGAATTTATTTTCCAAATTTCGATACGTCAAATTTTCCAAAAAAACCATTATTGTTATAGTGAAGACCGAAAAAATCAGCCAGGGTTCTTCAAGGATGAATTAAAAGGTCGTATTCTATTAGATTTTATTGCATTACAACCTTAACTCTACGCGTATAGAGTAGGTTATCTAGAAATTAAAAAATCTAGGCGTTAAAAAATATGTTATTGATAAACATTTGAAGATTGATGAATACATTAATGTATTAAATGCATACACTCAACATAAATCGGTCGATAGTTTAATAGCATATTGTGATATGAATGATATTCAATCAAATAGACATAAAGTTTATTCTAAAACTACAGATAAATTAGTTCTAAATGCAAACGACGATAAAAGCCATAAACGAATGACGGTATTAATACTATAGCTCACGGTCATTATAAATTAAAAGATAAATATTAAAATGTGTGTTTTTTTATAGATAATAGCTACAGTGGTGCACACTCATTCTTATCGACATGCGTCGAACATATCATATGAATACCGACCACACACACATTACCCATTGGCATAACAATTTGCTGTGGCCGTAATAGAGATAATTATAATATTATATTATTATAATATTACCATCGGTCACGAAACGACAGCCGATCGACGCGCACATCAGCAGTTATTCTCGTATTTATTTTTGTTTCAATTACATTGTAATTGTAATTAAATTGTGGATTACATAAATATGATAATGAGTTATCGACGCGTTATCTGCGCCGCCGGTTCGCGTAGAGTTTTAACACGGCCGCCGCAATTTTGTCTTTTACCGTACGTCCCAGTGTAAAGACCGTGTGCGCGTGCAAATCATTATACCTTTATTATATTTGTTTTTCTTTTATGTTTTGTGACAATTTTTATTGTAAGGCTACAGGAGAACCAGTTGGCCAGTCCGCTCTCCACAAACTGTGAGTTCCTATTGTACTTTTTTTATTTATAATTATTTAATTGTTAGATCAAAAGAACCGTATATTTACTATTTTGTTGTGTCATAAGGACCGTATACTATTTATATTCAGATTTTTTGCCTGTTCGGCCATTAGGGCCGAGCGTTTAAATATTATAATTTATTCTGCTTGGTCATAAGGACCGCACATTATTTGCACACATTCAGCTTATTTTATACCTTCCTTCTGTTTTGGCTAATAAGGGCCGTAATATTATTATTACTATATTTTTTTATACTTTGATGTTGCTGTGATTTTTATATATCCTTTGTATACGTAAATATTATTTAATTTGTGTAATATACAGCAACTCATTTTAACATCAAACGTGTTACCATTTTTTATCGTTAATTATTTGTAAAAACACTAACCATTATACAAAAATTCACACAAGTCGGTCGGTGTGTTAGTACACCACGAAGTAATTCGGTAACCGGGCGCACGGCCTATTGTCCGTTCCCGGCTCGCACACAACTCCAATAAATATAATTTTGGAGCTTGAGATAGTGGAACTTAGCACTTAAGGCATGAACCTAGGTCCAATCAGGTTTCACGTGTTCGAAATTGAAGTAACATTTAGAAAATTGCAAATATTTTTAACCACCCAATTTTTTTCAGGGGTCGATTGACCCCTTTGACCCATGAGTTGTGCGCCACTGAATAGCTAGAATTAGAGCTTTAATTATAATAACTAATTGTTTAAAATTGTAATATGTGTTCGGTTAGGTTAAATTTTGTTATCCACCTGTTAATCGTACAACAGATATGTCTCATAAACCCGTTGCCGTTGTTGCATCAACAAACCTTGTTAAATGTTGACATTCGTTTGATGGATGTAAATGAATTGTATGATCCGAAAAATCATTGTTCGTGCCTCAAGGCTCGTCCAGACGGAGCAGTTTTTGCCGCGCGATTTGAGTGTGAATACATGAACACATTTTCGGTGGCTTTTTTTGATGCCGCGCGACATGAGCGGCCTAGTAGGCGGTCTACATCAAAGGAAAGCCACGCGGCTTGTGCCGCTCGCCTATGCCGCGCGTGTGAGGACGTATTTTCGGCAAAGCCGCACGGCATCAGTACTTATTTAAATAATTTTTTAAGTAATTAGTAACAGAACAAACTTTTTTCGCTGAGGTAAAACTGATTTTCGTATATCCAGAAGACACAATTTTTATTCTATCAAAATGTCTATACTGAATATTCTGTTTTTAAAAATGCAAAGATCAATAATGATTTTTCAAAAATCTTTAATTTCATGTTTTTTAAGATTCAAAAATATAGATTACTTGCTGATCTCGTGCACTTCGTTGCCCGTTAAAAATGACACAACTCTATAGTATTATGGATAATATACTATTATTATTAATATTATTATTATTATTATTATAGCTAACAAATCGGGAAATAAATGCCGCACCGTGTGGACAAGTATTTGCTGCGCGGCACGGGGCCAACGGAGGCCGCGCGGCTATGCTGCACGACAAAAGCTGCTCCATCTGGACCCGCCTTTAGATGAGCAAAGATTTCATGGCGAATCAATTGTAAGCGATTAATATGTGTTTTGGTCCGCGGTCTCTACTATGTTGATACTGCACTGATTCATCATCGTCTTGGACTGTCGTGGTGTTGAATTTTCGATTTTTTTTATATTCGTATGTATATATATATATATATATATTTATATTGCAACATGAATATACGTTTATTTTAGTTTTTTAATATTTCTGTTAACCTGAATTATGAATTTGAATTGTTTAATGTACTTGCCTAAAATATATATGTCACTAAATAAAAAATATACTGTTTTGTAAGTTATTATAATAATTTTACTCATGTATTTTTATGTTAAAAATTATACTGTACGTAATGTGTATTAATATTTTACACATTTTAAAATTATATATGTTACTAAATTAACAATATATTGTCTTGTAATTTTATAATATTTGTTTTTTATGCTGTAAATTATATTATATATTTATAATGTATTATTATTTTATACATGTTAAAATATGTATGCTATTAAATAAACAATATATCTACTGTTTTGTAAGTTTTATAATATTTTTTCTTATAATGTTTTTGCTTTATGAATCTTATTAAACAAATTTTTATGATTGTGAATATTAAAATATCTAGTATAAATAAATAAATATTAAAATTGGTTCATAGACTGTATTTAAATTCTCATAATTTATTTAAAAATATCATAAATATTTATCCATGAATTACAATTATTATTATAATCTAACCACTTAACATACATTTTATTATTTATTATTATTTTTTTTTTAAATAGGTTCAATAAAAAAAATATTAATTTAGGATTATTTAAAATTTTGTTTTTCTAATTTCTTTTTTATAAAAACAGCCGGTTATTATTAAAACTATCCTTTAGCTGATAAGTTATTGAATTTGTATTTAAAATTTTAACAATAGTAAATATTTTAGTAGTCCAATTTTGTGTATATCCTTTACTAAAATTATGTTTAACATGTTAGAAAAATAATATAGTCCGACGGTGAAATGACCGAGTCCGGGCAACATAAACAAACGACAAGTCAAAAAAAAATCATGTTCAGTCTAACCATTTTTCATGGGAGAGGGAGGTCAAAGACCTTAAGAAATGAAATAAACATTTTTTATAACAAAGGTACTGTACTTATATGGAGGGTCAAAGGTGGGGAGTCCAAAAAAAGACATTTAGGGTAGCCCAGCCCCTGTCAACCCCCCTCCCTGTTTCTTCAACTACCATACAACTGTGCCTGCCCTTATATATGTTGGCCTCCTTTTGGCCCACCCTGGGAAATATTCCTGGCTCTGCCTCTGACTACATTTTTGGAGAGAAAAAAGACTGTAGTTGTCTCGCCTAGGTTTTCCTCTTTTATGTATTCCACTTTTTCCTATGACATGTTTTTCCAAAATATTTTAACAAATTGTTGTTTTCATTACTTTTTGATTAACTATCGTATCACACAAGATTGCACGTTCAATGAACACATTTTCAAATCGAGTTTTGCTTTATATTTTTATTTTCATATACATGAAATTGTTTTACTTTCGACACCTATATTAAATTAGATTAAATTAATTTGTTTAAATTATAATTAAATATATTAACTATTATTCAATTACTTATATAAATCAAATTAACAAGCAACACTAAATTAACCTATCATATAAACGGAAATACCTTAGCTCAGAGATTCTCAAACGTTTCAGGCCTGGCCCCCCTTTTGGTCAACCATAGAGATGAGCCCCCCCCCCCCCCATAAAAATAATTTTAATAGACATGTTTAGACTAACAAAAAGTTAAAACAAACAACAAATATAAGCTAATATTGATATTCACATTACAAATTTATTTTAAAATAATATGTATTTTTTATAAAAGGTTTTAATGAACCGGTAAAGTTTAATGTGATGGATGGGCTTGTTTTTTTTTCATCACAAAGTTTGGTGAAATTAGGAGAGATATTTGATAAAGCAACTCTCAATTCTTTGCTGACATCTAGTCTTCCACGGTACTAAGACTTCATTGATGCTAGGACAGAAAATCCTGTTTCACACAAATACGTAGTTTCAAATGGGACTAGTATTCTCATGGGTTTTTCAAACAATATCGGGTACTTTTTTTTTTACCCTTTTCCAGAATCTTGTTGATTAGTTGTCTTGTTCAAATATAATTTTCAAAAACTCATCACATCGAAGATCAATGAGCTGTTCTTGTTCTGCCAAATTCAATGAACTACTTTCCTTCAGCGGTTGAAATGGTTGTTTTACCCAAAGAAATGGTTACAGGTCTTCATAAAAGTATTCTTTAAATTTTTCTTTTAAAGTTGATAAATGATTTACAAAATATGTTGTTAGTTCTTGAGGAATCTCCTCACAGTTAACTTCTTGCACCATGATCAATAACGTCGGAAAAACGGTGAAGTCCGGTGTTTTCAAAGCAGCCTCCCACAGTGACAACTTTTTAATAAAGCCTTGTATCTTTTCTTTCCAAATAAGAAAAATAAGAATATTTGTTTTTTCTTTTTGCAGAGATTTATTCAACACATTTATTTTCGAAAAAATATCCGTAAGGTAAGCTAGCTTTAAAAGGAACTGTGTATCGCAGAAAAACTCTGCTGAAGGTTTTTAACAATCTCGCAAAAACATAAATACTTCATTTCTAAGTTCAAATATTCTATTTAAAACATTTCCCTGGGATAGCCACCGTGCTTCGGTGTGAAATAGCAGTGCTGTATGTTCCGAGCCCATTTCTTCACATAAAACTTTAAACAACCTTGACTGTAGTGGGTGTGCTTTTATTAAATTCACTGTTTTTACGACAGTTTGAAGAATTTCATTTAGGTTGAGGCTCAAATCTCTTGAGGCTAAAGCTTCTCTATGAATGATGCAATGTGTCCATTTGATGTTTGGGGCAACAGCTTTAACTAAACCTGTCGAAGCTTCCCACACAGCATTTGTCAATCTAACGAGTTATATAAATATTTTAATCTGATTGGAAAACAAATATTCAACATTTTAAGTTTATACAACGTTGAATATACATTTAAGTATATTTATTAAGTATGATATATTTATCAGTTATTGATTAAAATTACTGAATGAAAATTTATTTTTAAATCAAAAATTAAAATTCACTAAGTGTTATATATTAAGGTTTATTAAATAAGCTTAAAATAAATACCTATTAAATGTTTGTATTTCACAATTTACTCAATGTCAACATTTTAAGTTTATACAATGTTGAATATACATTTTAGTTTATACACTAAATATGATATATTTATTAGTTATTCATCAACATTTATGAATGAACATTTATTTTTCAATCAAAAATTAAAATCCATTAGTGTTAAATATATTTATCAATTGATAAACTTAATGCTTATTAATCTAATTATCAATATTAATATATTAATGTTTTATTTTGATTATAGGTAATCAAAACCAATATTAATGAAAGTAAGAATGGTTTGAATACAATAAAAAAAATATCAGGAATCAATTAGTAGTAAGTTTTAACATGGATTCGCTTCAAGAATATTATGACCAATTTATTCGTGGATTTCATTATACTCAATACGAATCTTAGTAATTTGCAATGTGATCATCAATATTCCTTTTTTTTTTTTTTTTTTGTTGTTTCAGTGTTGTATTTTTTTATTATTAGATTGGGATATTATATTAATTTTTTTAAATTATGAACAATGAATATAATAAAAATCTTAAGTAAAAAA